CGATACTCTGGAATAGTTGGAGTATCACCCAGTGATCAGCAGGTGCATCTACCATTTATTTTTGTTTCAATTCAGGAAATTGATAAACTCTACAGTGCAAGTGTAGGAGGAATTGAAAGTGACTTTGAGGCAAGGTGTTCCACCATGAAACGAGGCCGAGACTCCGCGTTTTCCGCAGGGGTGACGAATGTGGGTGTGCCCGGTCCTGGTCGGTCATTATGGGTCCATTAGTCGTGTCGAGTGACGAGGCATGAATTTGGCTCGGATTTCCTTCGGCAAGCCAAAGAAGCGGCACCGAAAAAGGAGAACCGTTTTGCCCTCACGGTGCAACCCCCGTAAGATCGAATTCTCGAACGGTGCTAAACGTTCCAAACACGAGTCGGGCCATTTTTCCTGTGAAACTGGAAGTAGAGCCGAAACGTCGAGAATCTGAAGTGCTAAAGACGAAATTGTTTATTTTGTGATTGAATCGAAGTTACAGCCATCAGATTTGCAACGTAGAGTTAATACATCTCCGTCTCCGACAGCGTTCTTTTTTTAGTCAACCACCCACGGCGTGGCAACGTCTCTGAAATAAGAAGCAAAGACCGCGCCGCGTGGATTTATGTGTTTTCAGAGAAAGGGAAACGAAATTCGAGTTTGGGGAACGTGTCGACGCTAAACGGGGCCACATGTAGGGCTCCTGTTGTCGTTAATTTCTACAATTAACTAAACGTCGGTCTAATTCCACCACCTCTCCATTCAATTGTTATCCGACGCTTCTATTTATTCCCTCAGAGAAATCTTGACTCGCTTCACAATTCTATGCTTGTGCCATTTAATCACTTTTCTTGCAATTGTTCCATTTTACTGTTTATTCAATTAATCGAGATCACGTTACACGCAAAAAACTATTCTCAACTTCGGTCTTGTCATTAATAGAGTGCCGATTAATAAAATATTCAACAACTATTTCAAACCGCTCGCCCTGTATCGTACTGGTAAAATACTAAAGTAAACTATTTCACTATTAAACTATTTTTGGTTGTCCTCGCGAGTCTCGTTTGCGGAGTCGTCGATCACGCTTGCCTCTCGCCTAAGTTGCTCGAGATAATCTTGAGGCGAGACAGACGCGGACGAGTCGGTGTCTGCGAGCCTATCGGAAGCTAGGGCAGCCTTTTCTTGGGTAGACAGTATCCTGCTTTCGTTGCCCACGTAACCGGAAATCATGGTGCTGCGCAATATCGCCGGCCGCAACGCCGGTCGTTTCGCGTGCAAGTGATGCCCTATCGGCTCCAGGGGCTCCTTCCTCGTGAACGGGGTTTCCCAGAATGTCTGGTCGATCCCGAACAGCTCCCCCTCCTTAAACAAAATAACCACAAATGGTTAAAAGATTTTTGGAGGAAGGTAACAGAATTTGACTCATTGACTGTAGGAAGTTAAATCGATCGAGTCCAGAATGTTTAAAAATTTAGAGAACGGAGGCAGACATTTTTCTAATTGTATCGTAAAATAAAGACTTTGACAGAATCTTGCGAAGCATCTTGCTGAGCATCTTGCTGAGAAATAGAAGTAAGTATAGCCATTAACTACCAAGAATCTACAAAACTGGCTACTTCACGAAGCCTGAACGATGCCTCTGAACCTCTACCATCACGTATCCTAATATATAGATAGATTAATACTAATTCATCGATAAATTAAACCAAGGCTCCAATAACACCGTCCAACACGAATTTTGTTCTGTAATATCCACTGGGTAATTCTTATAGCGTTCCTCGTCCTAAATACGAATCTGAAAGCCGAATCGCTTCATCAGCCTCGGTTTTCGACGAACTCGAGATTTTGTCAAACCTCTGTAAAAACGCTAGACAGTTCTATTTAGTCTTGAGAGATGGAGGAGAGTTTTCTGAATACGTAGATATATTCGCTTAGAATTATAACGAACGATAGAGATACTACCAGCAGAGTCTGGGGCAGCTGTTCCATCAACGTTTCCGGGAGAAAGAGACAGACGAGCCCACAGACGAAGCACGTGGTCCCCAGAAGTGTCATCGGCAGGTTGTACCTCGCTTTGTGGGAGAAGGCGATGAAGGGGCTGATGACGGAGGTGACGTACCCCATCACGTGGATGAAGGCCACCCCTTCGGCTCTGATCACCGTCGGCAGAAGTTCCGCCGCGTATTGCATGGCTATGTTCGAGGCCACGTTGATGAAGAACCGACTGCACATAGCCAACGTGACGAAGCCGACCCCGAGAGCCACGCTGGCCGCGAAGAAACTGAAGAGCCCTGAGATGATGACGGAGCCGAAGAGGGTCCATCTTCGACCTAGGATGTCCAGGACCGAGGTGACCAGGAGCATGGCTGGTAGTTCGGTTGCGGAGGCGATCGTGAACGAGGTGAACATGTCCAAGCCTATGGTGTTCAGGCTCCTGATGTGGGCGTCGTAGGCCATCTGGATGAGGCCCCAGGACGCCGTCAGTAGGAGCATCATTTTTCTGTCGTGGAAAGATCATCGAGTTGACAAGAAACGACTCTACTCTACTTGGAGTAGAATTAAGTAGGATTTTGTACCTCAGGCGGGTGGTCTTGAAGAGATCGAACACCGTATGGTCCTCCGCAGCCAACGTGTCGGCGGTTTCGATGCAGTCGTCGAGGAACTCCTTGTAGACTTCGTCTGGTATTTCCGAGTCGTTTATCTTTTCGATTCTGGTGATGATCTTCAACGCCTTCTCGATCTTGCCTGTGCTGATCAGCCACCTTTGGCGAAGATAGATGCAAATGAAAAGTATGTCCAAAGAAATCCTCTTCCTTGGTGACCTAAAGCTTCGATGCTACTGTTAGTGGTAAAAGAGGACGCACCTGACGCTTTCAGGAAGAAAGAACGGAGCGAGGACGACAGAGGCGAGAGGAATGGACGTCAGCAACGAGAAGCTCCTCCAGTTGGCGATCCCGTGAGCCATCCATGGCAAACAGACTCCACCGACGGTGAAGAATATTCCGTAGGACATGTTGGCAGTGAAGGAACGCCATCTGGGCCCGACGTACTCCAGAACGAGGATGTAAGCGATCACGAAGGTGTTGTCGTAGGCCATGCCAACGGCGAACCTGCAGATGCAGAACTGCCAGAAGTGGTCGATGTACACGGTGCTGACGCCACCAATGAAGCCTAACAAGTTCGTGCCGACTAGGGCTGGTATTCGACCGTATTTGTCCGCTAGCCAACCGAAAGCGAAGCTGCCAGCTACCGAGCCCACGAAGAAGATGCTCTGGGCCAGGGTGGCTTTGTACTCCTCTTCGCAGACCTGGAAGATAAGGATCGGAAGAGTGAGCGATTTGATCTTAGGACGATGAAGGTCTTAAGTTTAGAATCTCGGTGGTATACAATGTTTTCGACGAGTTGAGGAATAGAGGAGGTCGAGGATAAGTGCTTCTACCAAGCTAGCTAATGGAATTTTAGGTGGCGGAGGTATTTAAATATTTCATTAACCCTTTGCCGTCTAGATTTTCTGATTTTCGTACAGTTCCGTCGAGTCTCACTAGTCGTAGGACGGCGAAGGGTTAACCCTTTGCACTCGAAGCCTTTTTTTTCTGGTATCTACCAGAAACTCAAAATGTTTCTTAACATTCTATTGCCACGAATCCTAAGCCATCTAGATTTGAGAATACGATCACCTTCACCTCACCGTCAATCATTTTATCGACACTTCGAGCTCCAAAGAAATTAAACCTAAAGAAACCTTAGGTATTGTAGGTTTGCCGCGTGAAACCTAATGGTGGCCGAGAGTCACCTGTCGAGTGCAAAGGGTCGAACAGTTTCGATAGCTTAATAGCAAGTCACCCAATTCTTTTCTGCGGCGACAGACATGTAGGGCACGTCCGATCGGCTGAGCTTGAATTCCCAGGTGTTGCACCTCTTCAACGGCCAACTTTCGTCGGGTTTGTTCAGAGCCAGAGCCTGCTCCACTGGCAAATCGTACATCCAGCACCTCGAGTAGGATAACTGATGGCCCTCGTAAGGGACCACTTTCGAGCTCGGTATCATGATCTTCTTCAATTTCTCGTTGGACACCCCCTCCACCTCTGGAAGTTTGCACCAGTACTCGTTGGGCAGGACGGTGAGGAAGGCTTGCGTGAAGTACACGAAGATCAGGAACACGCTGAAGACCGTCAGTATGCAAAAAAGGTACCTTTGGTACGTACCAAACTCGTCTAACGAAGAGACATCGTTGAAGGGTAGGATTAGTCAGGGATAACTGACGAGTATCCGCTGAGTTTACTGCGAAGTTTATTTAGTATACTTGCCCAGATAAATCAACACATCGTCGAGGGTCACGGCTTCGTTCGCCTGCACGAAAAGTTGAGTCGCCTTCATTTGCGATCTCGTTATATTCTTTTAATCGACTTTTTCTTAAAATGCAATTCAAACGGATTTAACCTACAACCGGTTACCGGTACAACTTGAAGTTGCTTGAATCGTCGATATATCGATGCGATTTTCATGTCTCCGATTGGATTAAAGTTATTACATGGCGTGGAATAAAAGTTCAAACAAATCGATTTCGAAAAACCACCCCTTCGTCATTCTCGCTCTCGAAATGTTTCAGAAACGAGCCAGGAAACCGGACAACAGTTTCGGTCGAGAATGAAGGGATTCCTGATCTAGGTTCTACCCCAACGACCTTAGAAGAAAAACGGGGGTTGATGAAAGCCGCGGGTGTAGATGGGAGCCAATCAGAGCTGCCGTTTAGCTAATGCGTGTAACACGACCCGTGGGACGACTCGATGCGATTCTGCGCCTGTTCCGTGCTCCTCGTTACGCCAAGGGGATGGTGACACTGTGCCCTCGCCTCACCCCTCATCATTTCATCGCTAGACCTCAGGGGGGTGGCACTCCCTTCTTACCGATGCCCAACTGGATACTCTCTTAACTCTAGTTTCCTGACAATTTTATCATTAATTGTTAGGTAGCTTGTGTGCGTGTACAAGTTAAGGGATGATCATTTTGCTGCGAGGCACTTACGTCTTCTGTAACGATATTCGTTGTAAATGAAGACTGTGTTCTTTGCCGAAAAAAATATTGGATAACAGAGGTTTTGCCATTTTCGTAAGATATTCAGGATTGATATTTGTTCAGAGAGGTTGATGTTTGGTCGAGAGGCGTCTCGAGGCCATCGCTACCCCCCC